GCAATTGCGATCGCGAAGAACCCAGGCCAACATGAGAGAACCAAGCACATCAGCACCAAGTACCATTTTGTGCGGGACCATGTGGAGAAGGACTTCGTCAAGATCCAGTACTGACCCACCAAGATGATGATCGCTGATATCCTCACCAAGGCCATACCACGTGAGCAATTCGAGAGCCTGCGATCCAAGTTGGGGATCACAGATGGAACCACGAATTGAGTGGGAGTATGAGAAGTACTCAGCTAGGACTGGCTAGCTTATGTGTATTGAATGCATTCTTTCTCGTGTTGTGTTGCTTGGGAACTTAGCAAATATATCGTCGATCCCAATATTTTGGGAACTTGACATATATATTGTGCATCCCAGCAACACATGACTTTGTTGGTGATCGAACCCTGTACCATGCGCTACATGACTTGCGCACGTACATCGATCAGAGTGAATGCTTGAAAGGGAAGTTACGGATGTTGGTTATCTTGCCAGAAACGCCATACTGTTATCGTGCCAGGATTAGCACGCAGTTATCTTGCCCGTAACGCTGCGGACCTTGACAGAACGAAGAATAGAAACTCTAGGCAGCCAGTATGGAAAATTAACATCACAATTGATTTCTTCATCAACCCCTCAAGTGTATCCTGGACCTTTGCCTATCGTAGCCTCAAAGGTTATGAGCCCAACTACCAACGACAACATCAAGGCGGATCCTATCGTCTTTCGCGATGCCAACTTCAACATCTTCAAGGTGCGCGTCCAAGCCAAGCTGCGCAGCAAGAACCTATGTACGATTGTCAACGACATAGCGAGAGATCTTTCGCCTACGGAAGTTGCTTCTTTGGGTACGGATGGCCTTGCCCTGACCAGTTTCGTGAACAATGAGGATGGTCACACAGCTAGCTACCCACCGTGCTCCCGCCTCTGCTGAAACCCCCACCACCTTGGGAGAAGAATGACCCGTGAACCGACCCGAGACCCTGCCGCGGTTGAAATGTTGCCTGTAGAGTCTCCCGACGACGACTCGATCAACTGCGAAGTTCAGCCGACCGGTTCCAAATCACCTGAACGACTTTGCCAACCTGCTGAGGAAAAGGACGAAGGAAATTCTTCATCCAAGAAGGCAGTGCCAAGTGGAAACTCGACGAAACCAAAGTCCAAAGGCGTCCCGAGCACTTCAAAGCACCGCGATGCCGGTGAACATGCTATTGCGGATACCGACATCGCTCGCTGTGAAGCCGTGCGGACCAGTTCTACAAGAACCCTCTCGACATGGGTGCCTTCATCGACAGCATCTTGATGACGCCTCAAAGTCAAGTTTATGAGCTGTCGATCCAAAATGAGCGAAGGCTTCCGTTCGTGGTCGGAGAAGGTCATCTGCAGCCAATTCTTCAAGGAAAATTCTGGATCATTGTGGGCGTCCAAGTTCCCCAACATCCTCATCCACAAGAAAAACCCCCTTACCATGGCCATCTCGTGCTACACGCTCAAAACCACATTCAAGCTTGGGGGCAAGGATTTCCAACTTCCCAAGTACTTGCGATACGGGCAAAATTAGTTTGTCACGTTCACCAAGATCAACAATCCGGCAATGGCACGCGCCGTTGTGAAAAAATTGGCCGAGATGACGGGGTCGGTGGTCGCTGCGTTCAACCCAACTGCGGATCAAAACGTGGCCTCGCCTCATTTGCGTGTGAACTTCAAGGCCTCGACACCCCCCCTGTGGCCTTGTGCCAACATCTGGCCCACCTCTGCGTGGAATTGAAGTGGCCGATGCCTCGGGGAGAGCAGTGCCCGTGATTTTTCAGCACAAGTTTGCTGCGCTGAACAACACAATGCCTCCTTCGATTGCTGCACTCAACTCGAAAAGTCGTTCGGAGCCATCGGCGACACCCAGGCCTGTACAGCAACCAACTCCAACCTGTACAGCAACCAACTCCAACGGCTGCTCGGCAACCTGTGCGTCAAAACACTCCCTCATCAGCCTGGAGAGTGCAAGCGAAGCCCGTTTTCAGCTTCTCGTCCAAGCGATGACCACGATATGGAACACGAGTCTGCGACAGAGGTCATTTCCGTCGGACAAGTGAATGTAGAGCCCACTCAAGTCGACCCATCTCAAACAACAAACGATGTGGACATGACTGCGTCACTTTCTCCAAATCCATCCGACACGCCCGATGATGCTCCACTGGAAGAGCACCTGATGACCTCCCAGAGGAGCTTCCAATTGGTTACGGGCAACCGGTTTGGTCCTGCAGCGAAACGACCTTTATCATTGTCGCCTCGATCCGCACCACTCTCGACGAACAATCGATATGCCATTCTCGAAGAAGAGGACGTGGAGCTGTCTATGGACGACTTTGTTCTCCCCCGTATCGTGCTGACGGATGCCAACTTTCGTCGACCTACGAAAGTACAAGGCAAGAAGCAGCGCACCAACAAATCCAAGCATGCTCACTTGGAACGTGCACAATGGGCAATTCGCGACAAGAAAGTGGTCAGAATCATCGTCGAATGCAAGAGCGTTTTGCTCCAGGAGCACCAAATCATCGCTCACTCGATGTTCTCCTGTGCAGACGACTTTGACCTGTTCATTTCGCTGACAACAACCCGGGCCATCGAGCGCGAGATGGCCAAGCACACTTGCTTGATGAAGAGGATAACTACAAGGCGTATTTGGGGTTTTAAGCCCAGAACTACGAAGACCCAAGTCAAATTCTTGCGGAAATCGTTCCCGAGTCTCACGATGTATCCGTGCGCCTCGCGGTGGTAGCGATGGATTTGTTCCTGGAGAATCGCGCACCTGACCTCTACAACAATGCTGACGCACTCGATTCATTGCTGCGTAAGACAGCCACTCGATGCAAGGCATCCAACCAATTGACGGACTGGACCATTCTACACGTTGTGGCCACGCTACACTCGACCCTCGAATCGTTCAAGTTGCCTGGTCCTATCCTCACGGCACTGAAGGCACTTGTTCACATCACCGACAACGTCGAAGTCGAGTCCATTTGTGACGACGCGACACATTCTATCCATGCAGCCAACTACAGTGAGCTCCTCGACCTCGAGAACGACCTGTAAATTGGTGGAAAATCGATTCACACACTAACGTCACACTTCAAGACCCCACGATATTTATTTGTCAAGAATCACCTATGACTCAAGACAATGCACCGAACTTTCCCGCTCAACTCGTGGAGTGGGCCTTACAAATCCTCTCCGTCAACACCAATGGTTTCATCAACAGATATCGGTATATCCTTTCCAACCTCTCGTGCACGCGCGACGTCACGTTTATTCAAGAAACTCGCTTTCGCACGCCCAGTCAGCACGACAAAGTGGCCTACCATTGGCAACGCATCACCAACCAGGAGGGTGCGTTGTTCTTTGAAGACCCGTTGTATCCCGACACTCCAAGAACTCCGGCTACTGGAGTGCTGGCGACGTTTATTCACCCTCACTCGCCGTTGAAGAACGCGGAAATAGTCCCTCACAACGATCCTCTTCTTCGTGGCCGATACCAACAAGCCCGATGTGTCCTGGGGCCGTTGACATTGGTTCTACACAACGTGTATGCTCCGGTCATATGGTCCGAGCGAGCAAGATTCTTCGATGCGCTGCCGCGTGACTTCCCCT